AGCTTAACCCTACCACTCAAGTAGCACAGCTCCCCTCCCATAAACAGACATATTTAGCTAACATAGTATGTTATAACAGTTGAATACACAGTGGAGGCTTGTGTGTCAGGAATGCTCTTCACTGCTGTCTCAAAAGTTGTGTCTGTTCCGGCTAACAGCTATCCAAATAGCAACATTACTGCAATGATGTCAATGTTCAGCCGATACATCGTATTGAACTCTGACTCTGCAAACATGCCTGCATGTCTCGTTTATCAGCTGGATTATTGCTTGTAAGTGCTAGACCAGTATGAACAAATATGAAAATGTATTGCACTCACTACTGTAAGTCGCTCTGGATAAGAGCGTCTGCTATATGACGTTTGTGCAGAAATGTAGTCTTGTCTAGGCCAATACGGCAACCACATTTGTTTAACAATGAAATTCCCTCATCTTCCCTCGATTTTGAAAAGCAAATTTGTTCGACCTGAGGGGCATGTGCACATTTGAATTTTGTCTGATAAACTATGCACCAGCCATGCTGCAACCTCAAACTGTTACCACACTGTATTAAATGCATAGTCTTTTGTGGCTCTTTCCTGACAAGTTCCACAACACTCACATTAAAGGGACAATCTGTAAGCTTTCCTGTCCAAAGTGTCAGGGCGATGCTTCTAAATCGTGATTCGTATACAATAACGTCCAAGAGACTGTTCTGATCCACCTGACAAAGAGTTGTGTCCACTATGCATTGGGAATATCAAAATGTAATTTTTATGCAAATTCTCTATGAGAATTTCAAAATACGAACAGAGCAATATAAATACTTTTCTCAAAGATTGTGTGGACTAGCAAACGCTTTTTACTGTATATGTTTTCAATACATCAGGACTACACCAAGATGAGAAAATGGCAGTTGTACAAGAAATATGCCTCCAAGTCAATAAAGTTTGAACATATCAGGTGTTTCTTCACTCTCCCCAGTGCCCTCTGCTCATCCTCCAGGCCAATAAGAACTGAACTGGAGTGCATGTGCATGCTCTGTTGCCTTAAGTAATGGTGATGGCACAGCACTGCCCACAGCTGCACTACGGAGCCCATGTGATGTCCGTGGTTGGAAATAATCTGAGGAGGGGGCGGACAAGAGCGCTCACTTCCTTTGAGAGTTCCGTTGGATTTAAAGTAGAGAGCAAATGGGTGTATGTGTTTATATTGGAGGGAACGAGTGATGGAGATGATTGCTGTGATGTTCATGTTAAATGGATGCATGCCCCTTTAAGAGCGCACAAGAGTTATGGGCTGAGATAACCAGATAGAGAAACAGGATATAATTATGGGCAGAGGGAGAGAACTAGGATAGAATTCAACTTAGTAGGAAATCATGTTTTCCTGAAACAGCACATGGGGGATACCTAGTCAGTTGCACAACTGAATGCAGTTCAACTGAAATGTATCTTCCACATTTAACCCAACCTCTCTGAATCAGTGAGCTGCCTTAATCAACATCTGCACCCAGGGATCAGTTGTTGGAGGTTAACTGCCTTACTCGAGGGCCGAAAGGCAGATTCTTTCCACCTTGCTGGCTCGGGGTTTTGAACCAGTGACCTTTTGATTACTGGCCCAACGTTCTTAACAGTTAGGCTACCTGCCGCCCTTGTCTGTGTGCTGTGTGTCACTTTGTAGCCGTTAGTGATAATGCTAATGATAACGTCTGCTGGTAGATGGAAAGGCTTTGCCAAAAACCTTCTCAATTAAATGTTAACTACAAAGGTAGGCCTATGCCTACCTGGTAGAATGATATCATGATTATTTACATCAATCCAGTGGCTATTTGTTTTGCAAACTCTGCAATCAAATGAACGCTACAGAAACGCAGCTAAACAAACAACGGTCTCTGGGTGGTGCGCATTTGCATTAAACTGTGACTACACCCAGAATTCAACATTTCTACGATTTTGTTCCAGACCTCAAAATTGGTCTCGTGATGTGGTTTAAGCATTGTTGTGGACTTAGAACATCCAATTGTGTTGTTTTTCTATTAAAGAGTTGTTATTTTCAGAGCGAAAACCTGAAAAAAACAGAGAAACCCTGTCCAACCCTCTTCTTACTAAGAACAGTTAATGGTGTAATGACATTTACATTTACTGTGTGTCTGTGTTTCTGTTTCAATGGCTATGTTTTCCTTCCAACAGATCGATAGTCATTAAAGAGTGGATCGTTTGAAATGGCAAAAAAGAAGATGGATTGTTTTGGGTGCTGTTGGATGGTCATCTGTCTCCTACTGGGTACTCCCACTAAGGCAAGACTTAACTTCCCTTACCCTCTCTTTTTCTCTCTTTACTGTATATCTCTATCTGCCGCTCTCTCTGTCACACACACACGCACACGCACACGTGCACGCACGCACGCACGCACACACACACACACACGCACACGCGCGCACACGCACGCACGCACACACGCACGCACACACACACACACACACACACACACACACACACACACACACACACACACACACACACACACACACACACACACACGGACACACACACACACACACACACACACACACGGACACACACACACACACACACACACACACACACACACACACGGACACACACACACACACACACACACACACACACACACACGGACAAACACACACACACACACACACACCCATAAGTGCAGGACCATATTGTGCAGGGAAATGCTCTTTTCATGTCTACTGTGTCACTGGTGGGGTTCATACACTGTATAACATATGTGCCATTTTAATACTCTGCTCAGTAATAGAACACCACAGTTTGTTGGGTGCATTAATTGGTGTATATATCCTTTTTCACTCTAGTGATTTCTTTATGCAGAAAATCTAAATAACTTTGGTGAATGAACGTTTATATTGATTAATAATCAATAAGGTGCATGTAAGATTGGCAAGTGGTCAATATAATAGAATATACAGTACCAGTCAAAATATGGAATCATGTGGTAACCAAAAAAGTGTTAAACAAATGAAAATATGTTTTATATTTGAGATTCTTCAAAGTAACCCTTTGCCTTGATGACAGCTTTTCACACTCTTGGCATTCTCTCAACCAGCTTCATGTGGAATGCTTTTCTAACAGTCTTGAAGGAGTTGGCTGCTTTTCCTTCACTGTGCGGTCCAAATCATCCAAAACCATCTCAATTGGGTAGAGGTCGGGTGATTGTGGAGGCTAGGTCATCTGATGCAGCACTCCATCACTCTCCTTGATTAAATAGCCCTTACACATCCTGGAGGTGTGTTTTGGGTCATTGTCCTGTTGAAAAACAAATGATAGTCCCACTAAGCGCAAACCAGATGGGATGGCGTATCGCTGCAGAATGCTGTGGTAGCCATGCTGGTTAAGTGTGCCTTGAATTCTAAATAAATCACTGACAGTGTCACCAGCAAAGCACCCCCACACCATCACACCTCCTCCTCCATGCCTCACGGTGGGAACCACACATTTCCTGTGGCGGTCCTCATGTGAGCCAGTTTAATCATAGCGATTGATGTTTTTTGCGACTGCACTTGAAGAAATGTTCAAAGTATTGACTGACCTTCATGTCTTAAAGTAATGATGGACTGTCGTTTCTCTTTGCTTATTTGAGCTGTTCTTGCCATAATATGGACTTGGTCTTTTACCAAATTGGGCAATCTTCTCTATACCCCCCCCCCCCCCCCCCCCCCCCCCTTGTCAGAACACAACTGATTGGCTCAAATGCATTAAGAAGGAAATAAATTCCACAAATTAACTTTTAATAAGGCACACCTGTTAATTGAAATGCATTCCAGGTGACTACCTCATGAAGCTGGTTGAGGGAAAGCCAAGAGTGTGCAAAGCTGTCATCAAGGCAAAGTGTGGCTATTTGAAGAATCTCAAAAATAACATATATTTTGATTTGTTTAACACTTTTTTGGTTACTACATGATTCCATATGTGTTATTTCATAGTTTTGATGTCTTCACTATTATCCTACAATGTAAAAAGAACAGAAATATCAGGAAAACAGCCATTGAATACAAAGCAGTGTATCCTTGCTTTGGCTTTTTAGTTTGGCATTCATTGATGGTGCACCTAATGATTCCGCAATATGGAAGAAATTGATTTTCTGCCCACCCAGTCCCGACAATTTCAGTATTTTGGCATGACATTTTGTAAAGGCCTTTGTGAGAAGATTTTGCAATTTAAAGTTGCCCCATAGTCTTTGGGTTCACATTGGGGGGTTTGACATTTCTATGTACACCATTAACTTAAATTTTCTATGGATTTGAAGGGAGTCGCTTCGCTCTACATTATAGTCCCTTCCTGTTTCCTAAATAAGAATATGGTGACTGAGCGTCCCGTTTGAATCAGTCCCTGTGGAGTTCAAATATAGAATGCAGCAGGGACAAACCTGGCTGCAGACACATATCCTAAATGTACTGTGTTGTGTAGCTATTTGTTTACAGCCAAAAGACTCAACAAACTAATGATGGAGATGACAAACTATAAACCCTCCCGTTAATTTAGCTTTAGATGACTGCTATAAAATATGAATAAGGTCATTCCTGTGTTGTGTTTAGCAAAAGACTGCAGCGAGAGTTCTAAAGTAATCAGCTAGAGTTCTAAAGGAATCAGCGAGAGTTCTAAAGGAATCAGCGAGAGTTCTAAAGGAATCAGCTAGAGTTCTAAAGGAATCAGCTAGAGTTCTAAAGGAATCAGCGAGAGTTCTAAAGGAATCAGCTAGAGTTCTAAAGGAATCAGCTAGAGTTCTAAAGGAATGTTGATGAATTTCACTTAAGCTTTATATGATTTGTTGCGCTTAACTTGATACTGCTCCCTTGATTATTCTGTATTAATTATGTCATGTGATGCTATGTGTTATGCTATGTTATGGTATGGTATGTGATGCTATGCGTAATGGTATGGTATGGTATGGTATGGTATGGTTTGTGATGCTATGTGTCATGGTATGGTATGTGATGTAATGGGTTCTCTTCCTTGCAGATCTTAGTTGCGGCTAGCCCAGAGGTGAACAGTACCCAGAATCACCTACAGCTCAATGTCTACCACGACATAGGAGTCACCAGGAACAAGATTGTGACAGCCCAGTTCGAGTGCTACCAGAAAATCATGAAGGATAACGACCACAACAAAATAGGTTAATAAAAACAGAAATGGATGACATGTTTTCAGGCACCCCTGTCATTGGCAAAGTGGGTCATGGTGAATTATTATGTGTGTGTGGGGGGGAGTGAGCCTCAGAATCCCATAAAGGGCAAAGTTGTCTTGTAGCAAAATTGGGATGCTACAGTGGCTTGCGAAAGTATTCACCCCCCTTGGCATTTTTCCTATTTTGTTGCCTTACAACCTGGAATTAAAATGGATTTTTTGGGGTGTTTGTTTCATTTGATTTACACAACATGCCTACCACTTTGAAAATGCTAAATATATTTTCTTGTGAAACAAACAAGAAATAAGACAGAAAAACAGAACTTCAGCGTGCATAACTGTTCACCCCCCCCAAAGTCAATACTTTATAGAGCCACCTTTTGCAGCAATTACAGCTGCAAGTCTCTTGGGGTATGTCTCCATAAGCTTGGCACATCTAGCCACTAGGATTTTTGCCCATTCTTCAAGGCAAAACTGCTCCAGCTCCTTCAAGTTAGATGGGTTCTGCTGGTGTACAGCAATCTTTAAGCCATACCACAGATTCTCAATTTGATTGAGGTCTGGGCTTTGACTAGGCCATTCCAAGACATTTACGTTTCCCCTTAAACCACTCGAGTGTTGCTTTAGCAGTATGATTAGAGTCATTGTCCTGCTGGAAGGTGAACCTCCGTCCCAGTCTCAAATCTCTCAAAACAGGTTTCCCTCAAGAATTTCCCTGTATTTAGCGCCATCCATCATTCCTTCAATTCTGACCAGTTTCCCAGTCCCTGCCAATGAAAAACATCCCCACAGCATGATGCTGCCACCACCATGCTTCACTGTGGGGATGGTGTTCTCGGGGTGATGAGAGGTGTTGGGTTTGCGCCAGACATAGCGTTTTCCTTGATGGCCAAAGCTAAATTTTAGTCCCATCTGACCAGAGTACCTTCTTCCATATGTTTGGGGAATCTCCCACATGCCTTTTGGTGAACACCAAATGTGTTTGCTTATTTTTTTCTTTAAGCAATGGCTTTTTTCTGGCCACTCTTCTGTAAAGCTCAGCTCTGTGGAGTGTACGGCTTAAAGTGGTCCTATGGACAGATACTCCAATCTCCGCTGTGGAGCTTTGCAGCTCCTTCAGGGTTATCTTTGGTGTCTTTGTTGCTTCTCTGATTAATGCCCTCCTTGCCTGGTCCGGGAGTTTTGGTGGGCGGCCCTCTCTTGGGAGGTTTGTTGTGGTGCCATATTCTTTCAATTTTTTAATAATGGATTTAATGGTGCTCCGTGGGATGTTCAAAGTTTCGGATATTTTTTTTATAACCCAACCCTGATCTGTACTTCTCCACAACTTTGTCCCTGACCTGTTTGGAGAGCTCCTTGGTCTTCATGGTGCTGCTTGCTTGGCGGTGTCCCTTGCTTAGTGGTGTTGCAGTCTCTGGGTCCTTTCAGAACAGGTGTATATATACTGAGATCATATGACAGATCATGTGACACTTAGATTTCACACAGGTGGACTTTATTTAACTAATTATGTGACTTCTGAAGGTAATTGGTTGCACCAGATCTTATTTAGGGGCTTCATAGCAAAGGGTGTGAATACATATGCACGCACCACTTTTCTTTTATTTATTTATTATAATTTTTTTAAACAAGTTATTTATTTAATTCCACTTCACCAATTTGGACTATTTTGTGTAGGTCCATTACATGAAATCCAAAAATAAATCCATTTAAATTACAGGTTGTAATGGAACAAAATAGGAAATATGCCAAGGGGGATGAATACTTTTGCAAGGCACTACATTGACATAAAAATATGTATTTGCCTAATGGTAAAAAAAAAGATGGTTATTGGCTTTATCTTCAGCCCATTAGGTAGGATGACTTGATTAGTGAGTGCTTGTGCTCATGCATGAGTTTGAATCCTAAGTGGGATCGATTCATGTAACACAAGCCCTCGAGTTGAGCACCTGATGTCCAACGAGGAGCTCTTTGATAGGGAGAAGAAAGAAAAGCTTCTGTTTTGTGTAGTCAATGGCTAACAAGGTGTGATCATCTCACCAGTCTATTTGTATCCAGACCATTAACGTTAGCCAGTCGACAGGTGAGGAGACAATTCATTTTAAGCAAGCCTGAGGGACTGAGGGACTGAGAGGAATGCCAATATATCAGTGCTGCAGTCATTTGGTGTAATTTACGCAAGGTGCTGTAAACCTCTCATTTGGATGGGAGTCCACTAGCGTTGTGTCGGATTAGCATTGCAGTCACACCGGCAATCAGCTAGGGGATGTTCGCCTTTGGCGTCTTGGCTAATTAGCAATCCTATCACACAGGAAGATGGGGCTCTAGGGTGTCTGTCTGAGAGTGTGTGTGGTGGTGAGGGGGTGAGGAGGGGTGAGGAGCAGGGGCTTCAGGAGAGAGAGGGAGCATCTGACAGAACAGACTTAAAGTGTAAGCTGTGTTCAGTCACTCTTATTTTTAGGGGAGCCCTAGAGGTTTAATACCAAAACGTTTTAAAGACTAAACATAATCTTCACTTAGCTGATTTATCGAACCAAAATATTTGGAGATATTTGGGGAAGTGCATTATTGTCAACACATGCCAGGGGATTGTCAATTTAAATCCAAAGCTTTAAAACACACATCCCACCCCTGTTGTCAAATCAAAGTCTGAAACACCCGACTACTAGAGGAAAGAGAAGCAAAGTACAAAGTGAGACAGGCATGGGTAAAAACACATCCTGGCTGATATTCAAAATTTAAACCCAAGAAAGGGAATTTATATTCCTTTCTGATTCAATGTTTTTTCCTCAAATAGATTTTAGTCAACTGGACTTTTATGGTGGATGGAAGACAGAGTCAGGAAGCAGTTCTATATTTAGAATTCAGTCTGATATGGATGTGGGATGTTTCAATATCTGGGTTCTCCACAGTAATGTCTCATTGCCACCATACAATTAGGAGCATTGGCAGAATCAACAGTTGTTCATTCGTTAGTAATGTACAAAAATTGATATGGAGGCGAAAATAAATAAAGACGTTAGCATTAGCAACATGATATATCAGCAGGTGTCTCCAATAACTACTGAGTGTGATGTCAACAAACAACATATTTACTTACATCACATATTGATTTCAACTGTGTATTGATTGACGTGACCTGCTTCAATTAACCACAGTGTTGATTCTTGTTGCAGACAGTGTCAGTGACCTCTCAGTGCTCCTGCTTTATTTGAACAGGTGCTTTATTTGAACTCTGATGGTTTCTATGCTGCAGGGCCAGTGTGTAACCGGACCTGGGATGGGTGGCTGTGCTGGGACGACACAGAGGCAGGCTTCACTTCAGAACAGCACTGCCCTGACTACTTCCAGGACTTTGACCCCTCAGGTGAGCCCCCCGAACGCCCACCATGTGGCCACCGACATGGGCTAGAGTTCCTGGGGAGTGGGGACCCACCTTGTATGCAGGTTTTCATTTCAACCTATAACTCCAATTTAAAAACTGCTGAATTAAATGTAAAAAAAATGTAACTTTAAATCGTTCCAGCTATTTCACATGTGTTATGTTCTGTCTTGGAATCATTCTAAAATAGCAGATTCAAGGTGTTCCAGTTCATTGGTTCCCTTGAAGGTGACTGGGAATATGGCCGAATACAAACAGTGTAGTTATTCACTCCGCAATGCAATCAAACAGGCAAAACGTCAGTATAGAGACAAAGTGGAGTCGCAATTCAACGGCTCAGACACGAGACGGATGTGGCAGGGTCTACAGACAATCACGGACTACAAACGGAAAACCAGCCACGTCTCGGACACCGAGGTCTTGCTTCCGGACAAGCTAAACCGACGCGGCCCGCTACCAAGGACTGTGGACAAATAACATTTGATTTGATTTGATGTTCATCAGTCGGGATCACGACCAGTTTCATCTGGTGTATTAGTGCTGGGCTGGAATAAAAGCCTGCACGCCATGTAGCTCTCCAGGACTGGAGTTCTACACCCCTAGTCAAATGGAGTGACATCATTGGTAGTGAAATCCAACATACAGTGGGTCATCCAGGATCAACATTGAGAAACACTGGGTTTGAGTCAAACACAGCAATCCTTCCTCCTTCTGGGCTGGTTTGGTCATTTTGAATTCCCTAATTTTGTATCAAATGCCTTTATTTTTTATTTTTCTATTAAACTTTTCAGTTTATTCAGTTATCCCAGAGGCTTCAGAAACTATACTGCTTTAAAGGCGCTTGCAAATTATATTACTGCGAGGAAAGATTACTTGTTGCCTCGGTCGATTAAAAAAAAAACAGAAAAGGGAGCTGTTTTGAAGATGAACTTCAGATCTCTGCATTTTGAAGCCTGTATCTGATGTGGTTAGAGTTACATCTCTTACATTTTTGATGTAATGCTCTACAGAAATGGTGACAAAAATCTGCAGGGAGAACGGACACTGGTTTCTGCACCCCGACAGCAACCGAACGTGGACTAACTACACACGATGCAACGAGCACACTAACGAAGGCATAATGGTATGTCACTGTCCGAAACATATGTATTTCTATTCATCTTCTCAATTAAACAATATTTACAGTGCAAAGTCAAAAGAATATCAAATGGATGTTCTAGTAATTCAAAAATAATTGCTTGCTGCATATTATTTTGCCCTTCTAGAGAAACTTCCAGATTGCTATTTCGATTGAATGGACATTAAGCAATTGAAAAAACATGTGGAGATAGTATTTGACTAAGGCTGTGAGCTCTCTGCTCTGTGATTTTCAGGGCTGTTTGACTATAACTAACAAGGGCATTTATATATTGATTATTCAATGCGTTATGTAGTGAAATAGGGGTGTTAGTGAATTCAGAACACATAATATGCTAGGTTAATATGAGGCTTATCATGTCTACTCTCTTCCAGACTGCCATGAATTTATTCTACTTGGCCCTCATTGGCCACGGATTGTCACTGATAGCCCTATTCATTTCCCTGGGAATATTTTTCAATTTCAAGTGAGTGTAAATTAACCAAACTATATAAATAATTAAATACTCAAAGGCTTTGTTCCTCGGTCTGTTTTTATTCACAGATAGTTGATACAAATGACTTTTCCCCTTGTGTTTCTGTTTTTAACTCCACAATGACAACTTCTACTCCTTTTCCCCTTTCGTGTAGGAGTTTAAGTTGCCAAAGGATCACTCTCCACAAAAACCTCTTCTTCTCCTTTGTTTTGAACTCGGTCATCACCATCATCTGGCTGACCGCTGTGGCGAATAACCAGGAGCTGGTACAAAGAAACCCTGTACGTTTATGGATGGATGGATGGATGGGTGGATGGATGGATGGATGGATGGATGGATGGGTGGGTGGGTGGGTGGATGGATGGATGGGTGGATGGGTGGACGGATAGATAACATGTGTTTGTATATAAATAATAGTATATCTGTATTATACTATGTAATATATATTATACAGCCACACACCAATGTAATGGCAGGACACACACTGCTAATTTGCTGCTGCATTTATAGATATTCAAAGAGTTAGCCCAGAAACACTGCATGCTGTGGATCCAAATTATTAAATGTTGGGAAATTAGGCAAACTCAGCTCCATCATTCATTGAATTAGATGGCACATTCATCACAAAACCAACTGATATTGCCAACTACTTTAATGTTTTTTCATTGGCAAGATTAGCAAACTTAGGTTTGACATGCCAGCAAGAAACGCTGACACTACACATCCAATTATATCTGACCAAATTATGAAAGACAAGCATTGTAATTTTGAATTCTGTAAAGTGAGTGTGGAAGAGGTGAACACATTATTGTTGTCTATCAACAATGATAAGCCACCAGGGTCCGACAACTTGGATGGAAAATTACTGAGGATAATAGCGGACGATATTGCCACATCTATTTGCCTTATTTTCAATTTAAGCCTACTGGAATGTACGTGCCCCCAGGTTTGGAGGGAAGCAAAAGTCATTCCGCTACCTAAGAATAGTAAAGCCCCCTTTACTGGCTTTTGACATTATCGATCATAGTCTGCTGCTGGAAAAACTTACAGTACCAGTCAAAAGATTGGACACACCTACTCATTCTAGGGTTTTTCTTTATTTTTACTATTTTCTACATTGTAGAATAATAGTGAAGACATCGAAACTATGAAATAACACATATGGAATCATGTAGTAACCAAAAAAATGTTCAACAAATCAAAATATATTTTACATTTGAGATTCAAATAGTCACCCTTTGCCTTGATGACAGCTTTGCAAACTCTTGGCAACCAGCTTCATGAAGTAGTCTCCTGGAATGCATTTCAATTAACAGGTGTGCCTTCTTAAAAGTTAATTTGTGGAATTTCTTTCCTTCTTAATGTGTTCGAGCCAATCAGTTGTGTTGTGACAAGGTAGGGGGGTTATACAGACGATAGCAAGAACAGCTCAAATAAGCAAAGCGAAACAACAGTCCATCTTGAAGAATCTCATATTTAAAATATATTTTGATTTATTTAACACTTTTTTGGTTACTACATGATTCCATATGTGTTATTTCATAGTTTTGATGTCTTCACTATTATTCTACAATGTAAAAAATACTACAAATAAATAAGAACCCTTGAATGAATAGGTGTGTCCAAACTTTTGACTGGTAGTGTATGTGTTATGGCTTTACACCCCCTGCTATATTGTGGATAAAGAGTTACCTTTCTAACAGAACTTAGAGGGTGTTCTTTAATGGATTTCTCTCCAACATAATCCAGGTAAAATCAGGAATTCCCCAGGGCAGCTGTCTAGGCCCATCCGTAAAATTTTTTTTTTACTAATGACATGCCACTGGCTTTGAATAAAGCCAGAGTGTCTATGTATGTGGATGACTCAACAGAATACATGTCAGCTACTACAGCGACTGAAATGACTGCAACACTTAACAAAGAGTTGCAGTTCATTTCAGAGTGGGTGGCAAGGAATAAATTAGTCCTAAATATTTCTAAAACTAAAAGCATTGCATATGGGACAAATCATTCACTAAACCCTAAACCTCAACTAAATAAATAATGTGGAAATTGAGCAAGTTGAGGTGACTAAACTGCTTGGAGTAACCCTGGATAAACTGTCATGGTCAAAAAATATTGATACAACAGTAGCTAAGATGGGGAGAAGTATGTCCATAATAAAGCGCTGCTCTACCTTCTTAACAGCACTATCAGCAAGGCAGGTCCTACAGGCCCTAGTTTGTCGCACCTGGACTACTGTTCAGTCGTGTGGTCAGGTGCCACAAAAAAGGATTTAGGAAAATTGCAATTGGCTCAGAACAGGGCAGCACAGCTGGCCCTTCGATGTACACAGAGAACTAATATTAATAATATGCATGTGAATCTCTCCTGGCTCAAAGTGGAGGAGAGATTGACTTCAGCACTACATGGAACTCTATTCCACATCAAGTAACTGATGCAAGCAGTAAAATTAGATTTAAAAAACAGATACAAAAACACCTTATGGAACAGCGGGGACTGTGAAGCAACACAAACATAGGCACAGACACATGCATACACAAACACGATAACATACGCACTATACACACACGTACACATGGATTTTGTACTGTAGATATGTGGTAGTGGTGGAGTAGGGGCCTGAGGGCACACAGTGTGTTGTGAAATCTATGAATGTATTGTAATGTTTTTAAAATTGTATAAACTGCCTTAATTTTGCTGGACCCCAGGATCCATAATATATACAAATACAAAAATAGTCAGATGATAGTACTTATTTTCGCTTTTTTTGTTGTTGCTACAGTAGTTAGCATTAGCTAGCGCTAGTCAGCTGTACCTGCGTCAAAACTCCGCTATTTTTCATACTATAGCTTGTTCTCATCTTCTTTTTAGATCGTAAGCCAGCATGTTTTCAGCACTTTTATTTCCATGACTGATCAAAACTCATTTTCTCATGCTCTCTCTTGTCTCTCTGCAGCAGACTTTATGAGTAATATGTTTGGAACATCAAATCGCAATAAAATCACAGTATCGAATCGCAACAGATATCGTATCGGTATAATAGATAAGTATGGTGATAATATCGTATATCGTGAGGTCCCTTGCAATTCCAAGCCCTAATTTTCGCCCCTATGTTCTCTTTTCCAGACAAGCTGTAAAGTCTCCCAGTTCATCCATCTTTATCTGTTTGGCTGCAACTACTTCTGGATGCTCTGTGAAGGGATATACCTGCACACCCTCATCGTTGTTGCTGTGTTTGCTGAGAAACAGCACTTGATGTGGTACTATCTTCTCGGCTGGGGTAGGTATTGGGGGATGTGGTACTATCTTCCCGGCTGGGGTAGGTATTGGGGGATGTGGTACTATCTTCCCGGCTGGGGTAGGTATTGGGGGATGTGGTACTATCTTCTCGGCTGGGGTAGGTATTGGGGGATGTGGTACTATCTTCCCGGCTGGGGTAGGTATTGGGGGATGTGGTACTATCTTCCCGGCTGGGGTAGGTATTGGGGGATGTGGTACTATCTTCTCGGCTGGGGTAGGTTTTGGGATTAACATCATATTTTGAAGTGAAGTTTAACGTTATTTCATGGAAGTAGCATTGTTTGTCACTAACAATGGATGTCTGTTGTTGTTTTTCAGGCTTTCCTCTGATTCCAGCATCTATACATGCGATCGCTCGCAGTTACTACTACAATGACAAGTGAGTTACTTTCAACGCTTTTTCCCTTAATTGTTTTCATTGAATTGATCATTCCGTAAACTACAGGCTATTCATACAGCATAATGCCTGTTTCTTGTCATTAGTTTCTATTACAGCTAACCGTGTTCCCTACCCTGTATCGATTGCCTATTAAAATGCTGCCGGCACAGTCTTAGCGCTTTCAATTGAATTTTTTATGAATCTTTTTCCTGTAAGCAGCTCCTTTTAAATCGAATTTCAACCATAAAAGAAGGTGGCAGACCCTGAATGCTAATGTATTTCTCCCCCTCCTACAGCTGTTGGATAAGCTCCAACACTTCACTCCTCTACATCATCCATGGGCCAATCTGCGCTGCTCTGTTGGTAAGTCTGTAATACAGTTAGGTTCATGCAAATTAAAGCTATATTCTGATGACTCTTGAGTGCAAACTTGGATAAAAAGTTGGTGCAGTGTACAAGAATGTTGTTTTGATTTTAAAGGGATAGTTCAGTGAAAATTACATATTTAGTTTCCTTACCTTGAAAGCAGCCTATGGACAAGGAGAGACTGAAATTCACACTTTAGTTTTGTTCAATTGGCCAAGTAATATCTACGTAAGTAATTTCACAGAACTATCGCTTTAATTAACCTGCAGTTTGGCCTCAATTATTGGTCCCTCTGTGGACTGACCCGCCCATGAGTCATTTGGCAGAACAGCATGTCTGTGGCATTTTAGGAATAATCTGATAAAAAACCACTGGTCGCCCTTCAAAGGAAACCGGCAAATCAAGCATCCTCTTGTGGTTTGCAATTATTATCCAAGGATCTGGTACACGGCTGCATCGTCTTATCAGATGTGCTGATGTTTCTTTATTTTGAGGAATTCTGCACGATATGCTACCTCGTCGTGCTGCTGCCCCAGTTTCAACTGTTCTGCCTGCGGCTATGGAACCCTGACCTGTTCCCCGGACGTGCTACCTTGTCCCGGACTTGCTGTTTTCGACCCTCTCTCTCTCCCTCCCTCCCTCCCTCCCTCCCTCCCTCCCTCCCTCTCTCTCTCTCTCTCTCTCTCTACCGTACCCGCTGTCTCAACCTCTGAACACTCAGCTATGAAAAGCCAACTGACATTTACTCCAGAGGTGCTGACCTGTTGCACCCTCTACAACCACTGTGATTATTATTTGACCCTGCTGGTCATCTATGAACGTTTGAACATCTTGAAGAACGATCTGGCCTTAATAATTGCCATGTACTCCTATAATCTCTTGCACAGCCAGAAGAGGACTGGCCACCCCTCAGAGTCTGGTTCCTCTCTAGCTTTCTTCCTAGGTTCCAGCCATTCTAGGGAGTTTTTCCTAGCCACCGTGCTTCTACATCTGCATTGCTTGCTGTTTGGGGTTTTAGGCTGGATTTCTGTAAAAGCACATCTGTAAAAGCACATCTGCTGATGTAAAAAGTGCTTTATAAATACATTTGATTCGACTTGATGTTTTCTCCTTGTTTGGTCAATACGAGAATTGTAATGGTGATTATGTGAATCCGCTCTCGACATTGTTTTTTTTTTCTTCAGAAGCTTAAGAATGACCCATAATGCACAATTTTCCAACATCAAGAAGTGAACACACTGTTGCTAACAGTCGTGAACAGTATTTCTTATATTGTTCCTGTATGGTGATTGCAGGTCCTTTGGATAAGCATGTCCTCTAGACTGCTGTAATACTGGCTATTCTCTGCTCAGTTACGACTATGAAATGATACATTTCTAGGCTGACAGTAATTTTTTTTATTTTTTTATTTCACCTTTATTTAACCAGGTAAACCAGTTGAGAACAAGTTCTCATTTACAACTGCGACCTGGCCAAGATAAAGCAAAGCAGTGCGATAAAAACAACAACACAGAGTTACATATGGGGTAAAACAAAACAAAAATCAAAAAAAAATATACAACAGAAATACAATTAATATACAGTGTGCAAATTTAGCAAGTTATGGAGGTAAGGCAATAAAATAGGCTATAGTGCAAAATAATTACAATTTAGTATTAACACTGGAATGATGTGCAAGAGATGATGTGCAAATAGAGATACTGGGGTACAGATGAGCAAAATAAATAACAATATAGGGATGAGGTAGTTGGGCGGGCTAATTTCAGATGGGCTGTGTACAGGTGCAGTGATCGGTAAGGTGCTCTGACAACTGATGCTTAAAGTTAGTGAGGGAGATAAGTGTCTCCAGCTTCAGAGATTTTTGCAATTTGTTCCAGTCATTGGCAGCAGAGAACTGGAAGGAATTGCGGCCAAAGGAGGTGTTGGCTTTGGGGATGACCAGTGAGATATACCCGCTGGAGCGCAGACTACGGGTGGGTGTTGCTATGGTGACCAATGAGCTAAGATAAGGCGGGGATTTGCCTAGCAGTGATTTATAGATGGCCTGGAGCCAGTGGGTTTGGCGACGAATATGTAGTGAGGACCAGCCAACAAGAGCGTACAGGTCACAGTGGTGGGTATTATATGGGGCTTTGGAGACAAAACGGATGGCACTGTGATAGACAACATCCAATTTGCTGAGTAGAGTGTTGGAGGCTATTTTGTAAATGACATCGCCGAAGTCGAGGATCGGTAGGATAGTCAGTTTTACGAGGGCATGTTTGGCAGCATGAGTGAAGGAGGCTTTGTTGCGAAATAGGAAACCGATTCTAGATTTAACTTTGGATTGGAGATTCTTAATGTGAGTCTGGAAGGAGAGTTTACAGTCTAACCAGACACCTAGATATTTGTAGTTGTCCACGTACTCTAGGTCAGACCCGTCTAGAGTAGTGATTCTAGTCGGGTGGGCGGGTGCAAGCAGCGTTCGGTTGAAGAGCATGCATTTTGTTTTACTAGTGTTTAAGAGCAGTTGGAGGCTACTGAAGGAGTGTTGTATGGAATTGAAGCTCGTTTGGAGGTTTGTTAACACAGTGTCCAATGAAGGGCCAGATGTATACAAAATGGTGTCGTCTATAATAATCTTCCATGGTGTCGTAATATATCTTCCATGTTTCCAACTGAGGTTAGGATGAGTTTCCGTGTACAGTGCCTTCAGAAAGTATTCATACCCCTTGACTTATTCCACATTTTGTTGTGTTTCAGCCTGATTTAAACATTTATTAAATATATACACTATATATACAAACGTATGTGGACACCCCTTCAAATTAGTGGATTTGGCTATTTCAGCCACACCCGTTGCTGACAGGTGTATAAAATCGAGCACACAGCCATGCATTCTCCATAGACAAACATTGGCTCAGTGACTTTCATTGTGGCACCGTCATAGGATGCCACCTTTCCAACAAGTCAGTTCGTCAAATGTCCACTGCCTGCCCCAATGCATAGTGCCAACTGTAAAGTTTGGTGGAGGGGTAATAATGGTCTGGGGCTGTTTTTCATGGTTCAGGCCCCTTAGTTCCAGTGAAGGGAAATCTTAACGCTACAGCATACAATAACATTCTAGACAATTCTGTTCTTCCAACTTTGTGGCAACAATTTGGGGAAGGCCCTTTCCTGTTTCAGCATGACATTGTCCCCGTGCACAAAGCGAGGTCTATACAGAAATGGTTTGTCGAGATCGGTGTGGAAGAACTTGAATGGCCTGCACAGAGCCCTGACCTCAACCCCATCAAACATCTGTGGGATGAATTGGAATGCCGACTGCAAGCCAGGTCTAGTCGTCCAACATCAGTGCCCGACCTCACTAATGCGCTTGTGGCTGAATGGAAGCAAGTCCCCGCAGCAATGTTCCAACATCTAGTGGAAAGCCTTCCCAGAATCCTGGAGGCTGTTATAGCAGCAAAGGGGGGCATATTAATGCCCATGATTTTGGAATGAGATGTTCGACGACCAGGTGCCCACATACTTTTGGTCATGTAGTGTATATATTTTTTTACCCATCTACACACAATACCCCATAATGACAAAGTGATATTTGTTTTTGAAATTGTTGTACATTTATTGGAAATAAAATACAGAAATATCTAATTTACATAAGTATTTACTCCCCTGAGTCAATACATGTTAGAATCACCATTGGCAGCGATTACAACTGTGAGTCTTTCTGGGTAAGTCTTTAAGAGCTTTGCAAACCTGGATTGTATAATATTTGCACATTACTTTTTAGAATTCTTCAAGCTCTGTCAAGTTGGTTGTTGGTCATTGCTAGACAGCATTTTTCAAGTCTTGAAATTGATCTTCAAGCCGATTTAAGTCAAAACTGTAACTCGGCCACTCAGGAACATTCAATGTCATTTTGGTAAGCAACTCCAGTGTATATTTGGAAAGGTGAATTTGTCTCCCAGTGTCTGTTGGAAAGCAGACTGAACCAGGTCTTCCTCTAGGATTTTGCCTGTGCTTAGCTCTATTCCATTTATTTTTATCCTAAGCAAACTCCCTAGTCCTTGTCGATGACGAGCATAACCATAACATGATGCAGCCACCACCATGCTTGAACATATGAAAAGTGGTACTCATTGATGTGTTGTGTTGCATTTGCCCCAAACATAACGCTTTGTATTCAGAACATCAAGTTAATTTCTTTGCCACATTTTTTGCAGTTTTACTTTAGTGCCTTATTGCAAACAGGATGCATGTTTTGTAATAGTTTTATTATGTACAGGCTTCCTTCTTTTCACTCTGTCAGTATTGTGGAGTACCTACAATGTTGTCGATCCATCCTCAGTTTTCTCACAGACGTTAAATGCTGTAACTGTTTTAAAGTCATCATTGGCCTCATGGTGAAATCCCTGAGCTGTTTCATTCCTCTCCGGCAACTGAGTTAAGAAGGACGCCTGTATCTTTGTAGTGACTGGTGTATTGATACACCCTCCAAAGTGTATTTAATAACTTCACCATGCTCAAAGGGATATTCAATGTTTGCTTTTTTTATTTTGACTCATCTACCAGTAGGTGCCCTTTGCGAGGCATTGGAAAACCTCCCTGGTCTTTGTGGTAGAATCTGTGTTTGAAATGCACTGCTCGATTGAGGGAACTTACAATTATCTGTATGTGTGAAGTACAGAGATGAGATACTCACTCAAAAAATCATGTTAAACACTATTTTTGCACACAGAGTCCATGCAACTTATTATGTGACTTGTTAAGCACATTTTTACTCCTGAATTTATTTAGGCTTGCCAAAACAAAGGGGTTGAATACTTATTAACTCAAGACATTTCACTTTCATTCATGATGTAACACAACAAAATGTGGAAAAAGTAAAGGGGTATGAATACTTTCTGAAGGCACTGTATATGTGTGTTGTACATAGTCATTTGACAGATGTTCTCGTCCAGAGTGACTGTCTATAAGTGCATCAAACGCAGTCGTCTGAAGCCGCCGTCTCTCACTGTGTTCCCTATTATTGGCTTGTGAGTATTTATGAAGACCAGGTCGATGCCCTTCAGCTCCTGCATCTTTATCCCATGGCCTGTGGAAGACTGGCTGGATGGAAAACATAAGTCATTGTCTGTGAGGGGAGGATTGAATGCTGCAGCTCATGATGGGGAGGTGCAGTCGGAGCATTCTGGGGCCAGGCTGAATCAGCTCAATAAATCATTCAACACAACGACACTCTCTCTCTGTTTCTGTCTCTGTGTGTGTGTCTCTCTCTCTCTCTCTCTCTCTCTCTCTCTCTCTCTCTCTCTCTCTCTCTCTCTCTCTCTCTCTCTCTCTCTCTCTCTCTCTCTCTCTCTCTCTCTCTCTCTCTCTCTCTCTCTCTCTGTCTCTGCCAAAAAGCATGAAAGTGGCAAAATCAGCATTCTGCCCAATGCATCAACAGTTTTGGGTGTTTGAGAGCTTGAGACATTCTCCTCGGGAAGTGATGATGTGTTTATCACCTGACTGGGCTACTTTGTTTCGTTTATTCTCAGGGGCTGCTGGTCGCCACCATCTTCTGCTTCTTCAACGGAGAGGTATGTTTCCGACCCACAATCATGTCCATCAGGTTTTCTGAAATCCCAGATAAAGAATTCTAGGTTGGATGATTCCCTTGCCAGCTTATTCAGTGGGCATTTTGGGACTGTTTCAGGAATTGTGTAACCATCTCCTCCCCTGTACCTCCTTGTTCTCTGCACCCTGTGTGTATAAGTCGAGGTTAGGACACCTCCTATTTGCAAACCCTCCCGGGGAGTTGACCTGGGGATGTATCTGGGGAAGTTGACCTTCCAGAGCATTGCATGGGAGCATGGGAGCCTCTGGAGAGGATTCTCCCAGACTAAAGATCATGAAAGCATTGGCAGGCATCCAGAGACAGTCAAGGGACAGTCCACAGAGTGGTATCAGCAGTGCTGGAGAGGGTTTTGTACCAACGTAGTTAGTTGGGTTTGGATTGGGTTTGATTTGCCCTTTACCTCCTTTCACAGCCATGCTTCACAGGAACACATGGAGAGGTCAAGGGTCAATATGGTCATTTTGTGAATGACTGGAAGATGGCCAGGCAAATACTGTATGAAGATACATGGATGGTCTTGCAATTAGGGTTCATTCATTGTTAGTCATTCATGAAAGTAGTTCATCGCTAATGTTATTCATTTATTTTCTGTATACTGAATTTTATGGTCCACATTGTGTCTTGGCAGGTGCAAGGGGTTCTGAGGAGACATTGGAACCAGTACCGTATCCAGTTCGGGAGCACCTTCACCCACTCGGATGCCATGCGGTCCGCCTCATACACAGCCTCGTCCATCTCCGAAGTCCAGGGTTGCTACAGCATCGACAGCAACACAGAACACTTGAATGGCAAGGGGGGCTGCCTTGACATCGAGACCTCTGTCTTAAAGTCGGAGAACCCGTTCGCCTGAGGAAAGGATAACTCTGCTGTGTATTTGGGAAAGGAGGGGGAAGGGGGGGGGGGGCTGCATCATGTTTGGGAATGAGGGGAGGAGTGGGGGGGGGGGGGGGGGGGGCTGCAGCGTGTTTGGGAATGGAGGGGGGGCTGCATCGTGTTTGGGAATGAGGGGAGGAGTGGGGGGGGCTGCAGTTTGTTACTATGGTTACTGGGTTACTGTCACAGGGCGAGGTTGGAGAACTGAACTGTCCTCCCAATATTTGCTGCATAAGCACCCCCCCAAAGAAGGGATAAACAATAGAATAATTATACACACTGAAAAAAACAAATCTTGCTACCTTCGATTAACATGTTTAAATGGGCACTTAATCGTTTTATCTGCCTCGTGAGAATCACTATTTTTCAAGGATCCATGTTCTAAGCTGCTTTTCCACTTTTCAGAGGAAGCCAAATGTATATATTCTGATCATTTGTCTTAACGCATTTAAATATTAGGCAGTCCTTTCAACATGACTGTACAAGTCAAAAGGAGGTTTGACAATCCAAATGATGATATTATCAGTTCAGATAAAGCCTGGGCAAGTGGCAGGTGCCAATTTTATTTATTGGCTTTTCAATTTTTTTAATGGCCAAAAGCCGGCTATTACTGGCTAACTGAAACCCTGACACAAAGATACAGTACAGTCACTTTTTGGTGGTTAATAACTTGTGAAAAGTTACATGCTTTACAATGATCAATTATTATAATTCATGCCAATATATGTCCTGTACAACTGAATGTTACTTCAATGATGAAGTTTGGTTCTGGCACTGTTTTAAATCTATGGAATAATGATATATAGGATTAACCTTACATTCCCCTCAGTGATACTTATACAACACTTTATTCAGTATGTTCATATATTCCACATAACTTCCTCCTGGGATCATTCATTTGGATTTCACAACTTTTTAAAATAATGTTTTCATCCAAATGCTAGAACCGAATCACAATCAGTTGATGTAAATATGTTGTAAATCTTGTGGGGGGGGGGGGGGGGGGGGGGGTGTGAATGCTTAGTGTATATACAGTGTATATTAACACAGTATTTATGAGTGTATGCGAGGCATTGAAATATGAAGCAGCTGTCTTATGTAGCAGTGTGTGGAAGGTTGTCAGGGGGTTTGTTTTCTGTTTGTACCATTATGATGCTTTTGTTGATTTTAGAGGAAGCATGATCATTAGCATATGGGCCTTACCCATCGGTCGGTCATTTAAACGAATGGTCTCTGGGCCCTTTCTGTTAGCTTTGCACAAGGGTACAACCAAAGCCACTCCTCCATTTTGCCTGTGCACTCCGATGGAGAGTGAATGATGCCTGAATTGCATCTGTAATTTCTTTGGAGTTGTTTTTGCCATCCGTTTTGAGTTTGTAGGAAGAGGAACAAGCATCTACCACTGGAACATTATTAATTCATAATCATACAGTGACCATTGGTAACTAAATGAACACCATGACACTGCAGAAGCATGTGTATAGTGTGACATGGGGACCAGAAGACACGTCGGTACCAACTCTCAGATACATTTGCGTATTAGCTAGCTGTACTTATGGCAGTGAATTCAATGCATCCTGTTTCGTAACATTTGTCAGAATGTGACACGGACTGCAGGACAGTTTCTCACTAAAGGACTTAAATCTGATCTTAAAACTGTATTCAAAGCTGTTTTCATATTGGACAACTTTGATATTTGAAGTAACACTTGCTACAAAGTATTTTCAAGTACAATGTCTGTATTGTATGTTACAACTGTACTGTATATATATATCTCTTTGGAAGTCTACACACCCTGACTCCACTCTACTGTATGAATTTCATTTGTATGTGTTTTATTCTTTGGATGTGAAAATATATATTTGTGTAAAATCAATTTTTCTCTCAGATTTTTTTCTGCATGTATATCAGACAATCATACATTACTAGCAAATCACTTTTTTTGATATTCTTTATTTCAACACACAATATAATATATAAATGAATTGTCTCATTTTGATAGGAAAGTCACATAATGTCATTTTGTTTGAGAAGAGAGAGGTTTTTTTTTCTCATAAGGAATAGCTATTCCCTGTTATGATCACTTCAGTTTGCTACAGCAACAGTTAGATATTGAAAAAGGTGTACAATGACTGCACAACTAGCCACATTTTTCACAAAAATTGTTTGTGTTTCATTAATACAGTGGCTTGCGAAAGTATTCACCCTCTTGGCATTTTTCCTATTTTGTTGGCTTATAGCCTGGAATTAAAATAGATTTTTTGAGGGGTTTGTATCATTTCATTTACACAACATGCCTACCACTTTGAAGATGCAAATATTTTTTTTGTGAAACAAACAAGAAATAAGACAAAAAAACAGAAAACTTGATCGTGCATAACTATTCACTCTCCCCAAAGTCAATACTTTGTAGAGCCACCTTTTGCAGCAATTACAGCTGCAAGTATCTTGGGGTATGTCTCTATAAGCTTGGCACATCTAGCCACTGGGATTTTTGCCCATTCTTCAAGGCAAAACTGCTCCAGCTCCCTCAAATTGGATGGGTTCCGCTGGTGTACAACAATCTTTAAGTCATACCGCAGATTCATCAATTGGATTGAGGTCTGGGCTTTGACTAGGCCATTCCAAGACATTTAAATGTTTCCCCTTAAACCACTCGAGTGTTGCTTTAGCAGTATGATTAGAGTCATTGTCCTGCTGGAAGGTGAACCTTCGTCCCAGTCTCAAATCTCTGGAAGACTGAAACAGGTTTCCCTCAAGAATTTTCCTGTATTTAGCGCCATCAATCATTCCTTCAATTCTGACCAGTTTCCCAGTCCCTGCCAATGAAAAACATCCCCATAGCACGATGCTGCCACCACCATGCTTCACTGTGGGGATTGTGTTCTCGGGGTAAGGAGAGGTGTTGGGTTTGCGCCAGACATAACGTTTTCCTTGATGGCCAAAAAGCTCAATTTTAGTCTCATCTGACCAGAGTACCTTCTTCCAAATGTTTGGGGAGTCTCCCACATGCCTTTTGGCGAACACCAAATGTGTTTGCTTATTTTTTTTCTTTAAGCAATGGAGATGTATAGTAGCATAATAGCATCCCACTCTCTCCATCAACAGTTAGTGGTTAGCCATTTTTTAAGGGGGGGGGGGGATGTCACAAACTGAGAGCACTTGAGAAATGGAGGACAGGTGCCTTGCCAACTGCCCACATGCTATTGTTTCACCATATGTTTTATTGTAACTAGAGGCGTTGTGGGGGCTTCAACGACATGGGCATGCGTCATTCTCTCAATCAGAACTCTTCTTTATAGTTACTGTAAAAAGGGACTTGTCTAACTCTCCAACGCAGCATAGGTGAAGGATAGGGAATCAAATGAAGCGCTTAGTAAACCTGTAGAGGACTGTTTTGATTAATAAACTGATGTTGTAAATTGCCTCCATATGTGTAATTGACTGTTTTATGAGTTATACTTGTTACACTGCACTTTCTCAGTATTGGATTGTGCCAAAGACAATAGGTAGATTTAAAGCATTTACGCATCACAGTAACCAATCCAATACAGTACTTTATAAAACTGAAATTGGCCTGGTATGTCCTGGTATTTACATTTTGTGATCTGAATACAATCCCAAATGGAAGTCTAGCGAATTCAAACAGTCCATGTAGTATTCTCATCCTGTGGGTGGCCATTAAGACTATTAGTTAAGCTAAATGGATTCACTACTCCACTTCCTCAAGAAATTAACCACATCGGAACACTCTTGCAACTCCCTAGGGACAAAAGGCATATAATCATCGTAACATACCATGACAATAAAACCTATGAGTAACTAAATGGTTCCCATGACCTTATTTCTGGGTCACATCTTTTACTTATTTGTTTTTCGGAAACAGTGTCATCACTGGTGGAAAAAGTACACAATTGTAAAGGAACGTTCGGAAGGCGAGTTGGTGCATGGTGCTCAATAGAACTAATAGGAGCTGGCAGGTTGAAAAATGCCCTAAAACAAGGCCTGTTTTTTCACAATTACTTCAAAACTACGGCAAGCAGCTGGGACATATGGTAATATTATGAAATTGGGCTCCATTGTGGATGCAATGAACAAGTTATTTCAGAAAAAAACATTGTTAAAAATGTTGTGTCCAGCCTACCTTTTAATGGGGTGATTGTAGTCTAATCGGGTGTGCCAAGGTACGTCTTAGTAAATTAAAGCCCAGATACCCCAAAAAACTACATAAGTAGTACTTTCAAATATTTTTACTTAAGGACTTTACACCTCTGAGTGTCATCAATGTAAGTTCCAGCCAAGCCGTTTCCTTGTTTGTGATCCCTCTTTCCACGCCTCAGGTGTAAACAATCAAGAGTGGCCAGGAAAGACAAAGCAGAAAATATAAGTCATGTCATGCATCCAGAAATAATTGGAATTTTTAAGAATGACTGAGCAGGCATCAATGATGGCATCCATTTTACTCTCTTGTTCATAGTACAGAAGTTTAAAGCAAAGCACTGGCAATACAAAACCTGAATGATAATCAATGTTATGTTCAATTACACTTCACTGTGTGTGTGTGTGTGTGTACCTCATCAGAACCAGAATCTCTTGACTACTTTAGGTAAGAAAACATGCTATTTTAGGTTTAAGGATTAGGTTTGAGGTTAAGGATTAGGTTTGGGGTTAAGGTTTGGGGTTAAGGATTAGGTTTGGAGTTAAGGTTAGGGTTATGGTTAAGGTTAGGGTTAAGTCTAGGGTTATGGTTAGGAGTTAGGTTTATGTTTAAATTTAGGGTTAGGGGTTTGAGGTTAAGGTTAGGGTTAATGTTTGGTTAAGGGTTAGGTTTAGGTTTAGGGAAAATAGGATTTTGAATGGGAATACATGTTTACTCCCCAAAAAGTCCTGAGAAATCACCACAATGAAGCTGTGTGTGTGTGTGTGTGTGTGTGTCTGTGAGTGTATGTGTGTATGTGTGTGTGAGTGTATGTGTGT